TCGATTTCGTCTAACTTTAAAGGCAATTTCATGTTATATTATATAATTTCTTTGATTTATTTTTGTATCTTGACATACGGCTCCGCTCATATGTACATTGACACTGTCTGAATTGAAATATATATCTTAAAAAAGTTACGAAACTATTAATGAATATCACTTATGTTTCTGTATTTAGATTGTATTCCATTAGAGAGCATATTTTATCAACAGTTTATTTAGTGTTCTATGAGTAATAATAAAAAACAATTCCATATTCTTTCCATTAATGTATCTCCCGTGTGCTCTTAAAAGTTTCTTTGCCAATCTTGATACCCTAGGTATTAATTCCTCATGTTTCTTAAGTAATATTATTCATTTCATTTTGTTATATCTCGCATAAATGTTTGTTAGATATTGGACATTTTCACCGAACTTTTCTATCTAAACGATCCCACAATTTCTATGAAATTTAATACACCACTCGAAACTTTGATATTATTAATCCTTTGGACTCGAAGCCTTTTTTCTGGTGTCTGTCAGCAACTCGAGATGTTTCTTAGCATTCTATTGGCATGAATTCTAAGCTATCTAGATTTGAAAATAAGGTCATCTTTACCTAAGCGACAATCATTTTATCGATACTTCGAGCTCCAAAGAAATTGAACCTAAAGAAAGGTATTGTAGATTAGGTATTGTAGATTTGCTGCGTGAAACCTAATGGTGACTGAGAGTCACCTCTCCAGTGCAAAGGGTTAAATATTATTAAATACACATCTGAAACAGAATTTAGCAGCAAAAAATTGTACAGTAATAATTCATGATGTATATTAGTTATTCATTAAAAGTGCCGAATGTCCACATAATTATGGACTGGGGTGTATTACGCTTAAAAGAGGCGTTGTTTAATCAATAAGAGTATGCATTTTGCACCGGCCTTAACCATATCCTTCATTAACAATTTTTTTAGAGTTCCAGAGTTCACGAGGCAGGCTGTCCTACATTTTGAGAAACGTGTCTTTTTATAACGAATTACTTCTGCTTGTGGTTGTAAATATTATCTATGATTCCTAGAATACTCTTATGACTTTTCTTTGAATTACAAAAACTCTCCGTTCTCTTCCATAAGCATACTTCCCTATCAGCTAATGTCTTTCATATACTTCATGCCATTTGTCCATTTAGACAGAAACGATCAAGGAATCCTCTTTGCAATGATAAATTGTTTTTTTTTTGTAATAACTTGATATAAACTAAGAATTAGGTAAGATAGAAGGCTGATGGAAAGAAATAATGCCTGTTGATCGTGCGATAAATACTGAATAGAAATATAGGTATTTGGCAAAGGGATTTAATTCCCTAGCTCTTTGGTAGGTTAAAGCATTCATATTATTTCGTTATTAACTAGTTATAATATTCACATTATCTTACGTACGTAGAGATAATTTAGGTTACTAAGCATTTCAATAATCATGGGAGGGTTTACGAGTCAAAAACGTCACAAAAACGCATTAAAAACATGAATCATGATGCTAATTTTTAACAATTATTTGTAACAAATTGTAAAATCGCATAAGCTTCACATGCGAAGATTATTATTACGAGATTGTCTTGTGACGGTGTAAAGGATAAGTTTATAGCCTATTTTCTTTTTAAAACAACTTTAATATCACTTTTTATTATCAAAGTAATAACTTTCGTTGGTGCCCAAGGGAAAACGCTTTATATTTGTCTGGCAGTGAATGGATTAAAAGTGATCCTTTATTTATTTAGTACAACTGCACATGCAGTTTTCTCATTTATTATGGATTAGTTGCAATTTCAGCACGTCTAGCGCGACACACTGTTAGTGGAAACCGAATTCTTGTTTACTTCGAGCAATATAATTCGTCCCTGAAGAGGTTAATATGCATAGCAACGGCGTATACCTGTTTAACTGTTCCCAGAAAATAACACAAAACGTTGTGGGTATATTAGAAAGTGCTAATATAATATTTACATTCGAATAAATTTTCCTGTCCCGGGCAACGCCAGGTATTTCAGCTAGTGTACATATATGAATATCGCGAGTTCCTTATGCCTCCGTGTGAAAGCGCCATTCCACTCGACTTCAGTTATATGCTACGACATACAGAAAGACGAGACTCTCGTTCGCACGGAGGGTCACAGCTCACAGCTAGCCCTGAGGAAGCAGTCATTGACATTGAGAGAGAGAGGGGCAGAGAGACCATCGAAGAACGTGACTAATATCGCGATGCTACTTCTCTATATGGAAGCTTTTCGCATTTTCTATTCGCTAATAATCATTCGTAGTATTGTCGATCACGTGACCAATTTAAATCCAACACCATCAAAAAACGACGGACTCGAACCAGTGCTTTAGTTATTTTGCCACCTGAAATACACCTACCATGTTCCTCGATCATTCTCTTTTATATATATAAATATGATTTTCATTTATTTTGTTAGATAGTTAATTCCATGCAGCAGTCATCTGTAGTGAGGATTTGCCGAAGAAATCTTTACTTCAATAGCACAAGAGTCCTAAAACGAAATGCACTTTATGGTGCATTTATGGAAGCTATGAGTGTCATCTAAAGCATTTATTAAATTTTCTACATAAATGATTATATGATCTCTTTGAATGAGCCATTTGTGAGCCTATTTATGAAAAATAAAAATATATTTTGCTAACCCTTCGTATAGTACCCTCGGTAATCCTAGTTTAGGTCTTTTTAAAGTTTCAATGTTTCGTGTCTGACAAAAAGTATAGGTACTATACTTAGTATAGTATAGGATTATAAGTATAGGATTATATCTAACGGTGTGAAAAAAAGAAATACTTCACTTTACCTAATTTTTTCGTTTCACGGTACTATGTTTCATATTAATGCCTGTATGCAATACTGAGGATAGAATAGAGATATAATGATCATGGGCGATTATGGTAACAGATACATCAGATGAACTACACGACGGAGTAACACTGTTAACAGATAAACGCACATCATGCTCTGCTTGAAAACGATTCGATTACATGCTCCTAAATCTGTGAGGAATATTTCGGAGAGTGTTTCGTGGGAAAACTGCTGACGATGCAATGCAATCATTGCCACACAATAGATTATTCCTGTCAGTTGTTGAAGTACAGTATTATTTGAAATATTTCTCTTAAGTAGTTAAGAATCAATGTTGCTTGTTTATATAATAAATGAACCAAAAGGGAAAATAGCCGATCAAACATAGTTTCCACACATGTATATTCGAGTATTTTTCAGTATTTTATAAAATCAATTGAAAACAGAGAATATGAATATATAAGTTCAACCTAAGAGAATATACATATGTATACAGTATTAGATGATATACATATGTATGCATATACATGTATAACATATATGTATACATATGTATAGAGTAAAGAATATTTATATGTATACAGTATTAAATGATATACAAAACAAGTAAAAAGCATATGTTTATATGAGATCAAAATTATCCGTTTAGTACCAAACAGGACCTGCACAGCAAAGATTGAAACGTTTTAATATAATGCATTCGATTCACGCTCGTTTCGCAATCTTTCCTTTGAATTGATTTTTATTTATCGATTGCTATTAACAACCGCTAGAGTTACCAGTTTTGGTTAATTAGCATGGTTGCTCCAAAATGATCTGAACGTTGAATAGCAATTATTTTGTATTTTAGGTTGCCTAGCTGGTTGAAAAGCTCTGGATAATATCAAAACAGGTTTCTCGCAAACGTCTTACTCCCGACGGTTCAGTATTCGACAGTCTGGTTTGTGCTCGTCGAGGTTTATTGCCTCGAGCAGCGTAGAAAGTATAAGGCAAATCGTTTCGATAAACCGTAAACGACGGTGTGATGCGAGGAATGTAAATAAGATTTGGTCCTACAGTCAGTCCTTGATAACCGTACGTCACAGTATTTATCCCCTAGTGGAATTCACGTACCGTGATAAAAACAAACCGAGAAACCTCGGAAGAACGTACGTATAAATTCCACGCGAGAGTCTGAACGCTTCGTAAACTCTGCGCAAGGAACAACTGATTGAATGGAATTCCGAACGAGCGATTCGACATCCTGTCAGTCATACGAGCAATCAAACTTAACAGCCTCCTTCTTGGATGGGCGAACTTTATTTTGCTAAAGAGATTGAAAGATCTCTGGATTCTTTGGTCTTTCGTGCGTAGATATATTCATTAGAAAATCAACTTTTCGATCTACGTGGAAGGCCCTTTTTATATTATCGATCCTCATCTTGTGTACTCGATGCTTTCTTAAATTTAACTTAATTCACAAATATCTGCTTACAATGATAACATTTAAGGAAATGTTAGATGATACAAATAAAACAAGTCTTTTAAGAGAAACATTTAGACTTAAAGATAATATTTAAAGATAATAGTTGTTGGACAAAATGTGAAAACAATATCCTAAAAATTTCCACGGATATCGTACACAACATCAATCTCCCATTACTTATAACTACTCCGAATTTCATAAACACGATTCCTTTATAAGAATACTTTCTTCCGTACGTATTCGTGTCGTAAAAAATGATACCTAATCGATCAAACGAGGAGAACCGCAAAGTACAGTCGAAACGTAACGTCAACCTCTGCACGTTAAATACACGAGAGTCGTAAAAGTATGAATTACATCACCGTTACCGTTATTTACTTACTGGAAAGGCTGAAACATTGAATTCCCGATAAACTACCTCTGCTCGGAAGAACCAAAGAATCGGCGATCTTTTACCGATTCCTTCAATCACAGCTCCCTCTTCGATCACGTACAAGAGTGTTCCCGAAGCGAGGAACGCGTAAACGAAACCTCGAGGCGAGCATTCCAGGCCGATCTTCCGGAACAATCACTCGTATCACTCGTATCCATCGTTCACACGTAACCTTCCACACTCGAACGAGGAGACCGTTGGTAGCTAGTTAGCTCGCCGATCGCCGATTAACCGGAAAGTTAAGGACACTTTAATCGAACGTTACCCTTGCTCCTCTTCGGTAGGTCCCTGTTGCGCGATGCGAAACACGTCTGTCGTCGACATGGTGCTCCGCTGGCCAGCCACGCTACGTTGACACCCGATCACCGGTCACATATCGACGATATCGAACTCCGCGCATCCGACGTCGATGGATGATATTTCTCACCGATTCGAATCGACGCAACTGATGCCGCGCGCTCGCTCGATCCACGTGTGAACGCGCGCAAGCCGTGCAAGTTAAATACGTGTCCAGGTTGGCTGGCGCCCGTCAAGGCCTGGCTTCGCTGCCGCCGGGAGCGGTGTGCTCGGCTCTGGGGGCCTGTGCACGCGAGATCGGCACCGCAACAGGTTGCTGGATCCACGGATTTTCCACGATCCAGCGACGGTATCGAAGCACGATCGAAAAACCAGCGAAGAGCGACGGGCCGATCGACTCGCTGCAGTCCCGCGTAGTGTCGCGACGAGAACCGCTCGCGCCGCACCTTTGCCTCCGTTGCCGCTGTTCTCTTCTAAGTATCTACCTGTACGCTCTGCACACACGCACGCACACCACCATTTTTCTTTCACCTGTGTGCGCGCCGTACGCGTCCGTGGACGCTTACCTGTCTGCTACGGATGAAACGCGTTCCTTCTACCTGCGCGCACTCACACGTAAGCACGCGTGTAAGATTCGTGGGGATGCTACTAGCGATGGGAGCGAGCACCTTGCGAGCTTTCTGTGTTTAAGAATACGTACTATCAAACCACGATTAAAAAACACAATAGTTTACGGTCGTCGCGTATATTCATCCCTTACACTGTTTTTCGGTATATCCGAGTATGGCGGAATACACGCGTTAAATAAGCTAACCGTGTACTTGTTCTTTGCCGTAATTCGTCCTTATCAAAGGAAATAATCATTCATCTTCCGTCTTTGAAAATGTATTGGAATTCATGACACATTTCGTGATTTTTGATCGACGGTCAGATGAAGGTCAACATATTTTATGTCACTGAATTAATTTTTTTTATAAGCTACAACACTGTGGCAATGAAAATTTGTTACCCATTAAAAATAATATCGATAATCTTGATATCTTGCAAAAAAAAAACTAACAAAAGAATTTATTGCTAATCGTATTTAATTCTTTGTATCGATCAATTCTTCCCCCGAACTCTTGCTCGTATTTTTTTCTAATATTTTCAATTTGATTCCTCCTATACTCCAAAATACTCCTAATAATACTCCTCAACTTTCAAAAGTTATTAAATGTCGCGAAAATCGGAAGAAAAAACAATATCCGTATAATTTAATTAATTATTTAATTAAATTAAATACTAAAAAATGTTTACTACGACGATATCATCTTTCACGTTTAATCGTAATTGTGGTGCTTTCATTTATAACAAGAATAATCGGATATATTCCGTACCATTTGTATCTTACTAAAAAACAAAATCCTACGCCTCTTCTTCATGAATGCATTATGAAATTTGAAGTGTACGACTTTTCAAGTTTCTTGACGTTATACAGTATAATTCTTGTATCATACAGCGAGGCTGCGCGCACCGATGCTTGTGTCGCGCGATGGACACACGTGTTTTTTGCGTACACACATCGGCGTCGGCTCGAAGCGGATGATGTTCCTTTCATTTGCATACTGTCCTAAGCGCGTACGATTCGGACGTCGACGCTAGACTACTACTTTCTTTCGCTTACGAGGAGAGCCTACGATCCAGACGAGCATTTTCTGATCGGGGTCAGGCCAGAGATGGACAAAATTCTTATCCAGATACAACATTTTACAATTTTTTATCCATTAAACCGAAATTACTATTTTTATCACAGAATTAAATATGTCATCGTCGAGAAATAAAAATTTATCTGTACATTTTCTTCGTCATCTATTTTATTCAAATAACACTATCTTTGAATCGGGATTTTCAATGATATTACGACCGTATATGTAGAAAATAATTAGACGTTATTTTTATATACCGACAATACAGATACCTATTCGGATTTCCTATAACTTATTCTACTTTTGTCTCATACGTATCAAATGTAATATATTTGCTCTACATGTTCCGACGAAAACTATTAACTAATTGATTTGCGAAAATATTAGCTATAATTATTATTAATCGATATTGAATGTTACTCAGGACAGTAAGGAAACATTTCGAAAAACAGTAGATTGTTTACAAAGAATCTAGTTACTGCTGAAATTCTATAAATATAGATTCCATCATAGTTAAATAGAATTATAAGAATGTCGTTTCTAAACATTAACTGTTCGCTATGCTCGATGGGGGAATAGTAGGAAAGTACGTAGAGTTAAAATGCAAGCGTTAGATTTCGCGAGGTTCCCTCTGTTAGTTGGAGAACGCTCACGAGGACTTGTTCCTTTCCGCTACCGTCGATGTCAACAACGTGCAGACGTTGGGTCCTTCGTTTGCGCAGGAATGTGTAAGCGCATTTCTTTCTGCCGTCCACACCGATACGTTCAGTTATAAGAGTTTCCTCGTGATCGTGCACGTTCAGACGTATTTCCGCCTTACCTGTGCGCCACGGCAGACACACACCCACCTCGGTTGCATTTGTGCAACGGTTCACGTACACAAACACATCCAACTGTTCATTTGTGAGAGGCGACAGGACGAACACGAACACGTTCCTTTGGCTGAGGTATACGCGCAGAAATAACACTTCTTCGAGCTGTGTGAGCGATACTACAAAGAGAAACGGTTTCCTCTCGTTTACGTGTCGATTCTTATACGTCGATATTTATCCCGACTTTATGTGTAAACGGACACAGGCACGTTTCCTCACCTGTGCACACACGCAACGGTAAAAACTTGCTTGTTATGTATATATGCGGATCAGCTACTCGGATACAGAGCTCTTTTGGGACGGGCGCATCGCGATATGCAGCAAACGCGGGTGACTTTACGAACTCTAGACAAAGATGGGCGATATTTTATTTAAATAATAGATGATGAATAAACCTGACTACAAACTATAGCGGTTTAGCAGTTGAATTAGGGTTTATTTGGTTGTTCGAACTGTAATTCTTCTTGAAAGAGTAAAAGGTTATTTATCGTTTATTCGTTATTTAAAATTTGTACGATGATAAAAACTTGGTCACCTTTAACTCAATGTTGCTTATGGTAGTATAATTGACTGCGAACTTTACGCGTTTACCGTGTATGCGATTATGAACAAAACATATGCTAAGTGTATGCAAAAGATTTGCACTTATGTAGGTAAAATGAAATATTAATGTTATGGTAATTAATTTGTAAAATATATTTCGCATACACTTTAGTATACATTAATTTTAGTTTTGAGGAAGAAAGTGATCCTAAACTATTAATTAATAATTTCTTACTCTGAAATATTTTTAGAAATTTCTAAACAGTGCTAGTTCAATTTATACAACTGTGTAGATTTTTTAATTCTTAACAGAATAATTTTTTTAACTTTAAGATTATTTACAAATATGTTTAAAATACGTTAAAAATATTTTAAAGTAGGAAATTATTGATCGATTATTTGCAATCGTTATCTTGCTCAAAACTAAAATTATGACAGGTTCTTACTCAATTTCTTATGTAGTATTAAATGTTATTCCAGATAATCTTTAACTTAGTTACATGGTTCCATGTAAAGACTATATAATGGATTAAAAGAAGATGATTTCTCTAAACTGAAAATGTTAGTAAAATTTGATATTATGTCACTTTTATCCCACTTTCTCCTTTTCTAATCATCGCTGCTTCTTTAATGTCTCTTTCTTTGTTGCAAACTCTAAAGCATGTAATCTATAATTTTACTTACGACATGCAGTTTCTCCACGAATAAAGTTCCGGGATACTTTATGTAATAATTACTTAATGAAACCATTCATTTGTAACATGGCTGCATCGTCTTAGTACGCGTACCATTTTCAACGCTAATTTTTTATATGCCTCTTACACAAACGATTAATAGTACTTACACTATTGCCGCGTATGTACTTTATACACGTCTATTTATTGTCACTAAAATTATAAATAAGAATAATTCAAATTATTATTTAAAAAGAATTTAAATATTTTTAAATTGTATTAAGAAACAACAAACATGTTTATGAACATGCATTTTGAAACAGACGACCAGAATTATTATAATCAATACATTCTTTGAATGTATGTACTTTCATTTTTAATAATAGTAAAAGCGTTAATGTTTATGGTAACGCTAACGGTAAGTAAATTCTTAATCGATTAAATAAATAAATAAGATGTATTCGTACGTGTTTAGCTTTGGTTAATGGAGTTTAGTATGCTTGTCAGGTGAACACTCCGGATGGAAGTGTACAGTCACGTATGGTAAATGTAACCGTAACTCGATGGAACTACTTCGAAATACACGAAGTCGACAAATTCATAATAAATTAAATATTTACTTTTAGAGTTTTTCCAATTATGTTTAGGATCATTTCGATGCTATAAGATTATGTCAATTTTTAACATCGCACGACGAATGAGTCGTTATTCCGACATATGCATTTTTTATTTTTTAAATAAATTGAGTTGTCATTTTCATTTGCTATAACTGGAATAGTATGTAAACAAAATAGAACGTACTTATATGCTAGCATCCTTAGTATTGTTCAAATATTATTTTAACACATGCATGCCATGAGAGATCAAGAAAAATAAAACAATTATTATCATGTTCTTTTGAAAAAATTTTAAAACATATAATATTAAATATACAAAATCATAAATGAACGATTAACTGTATACAATTGTCTGAATCAAATATCCATGAGAAAATTAGAAAATATGTTAGTAAATACTAATTATGAGTATATTATGATAATAAAATTTTAATTTTATTCAATTCAGTTTTAATAATTGAATTTTATTGAGTTAAAATTATGAAACATGATAATGTCTGAACAATGGAAAATATTATTATTAGAATTTTTCCTCTTTAAGATTGCAAACATATTTGAATTTTCATTCATTGTAGACCGAGCAACATTAATCGATTCTCTCCCTATTCTATTTCAATAAACTTTCAATTGTTGCGCGATTCAAGCGCTGGATGGTTAAATTGTAGCTGGAAAACAGTTGACAATAGCTTCGCAATATTTAAAATTTACAGGGTGCAGACAATTAACGTCTGTGTTCGAATTTCCAAAGCTTTTAATTCTTGATTTGCATCTTTCATCCATCGAATTTATTCACGTTCATTTATTTCATCAGAAGACATTAGCGTTAATAAATTCGGAATAATATATATTTAATAAATTTTGTCACGTAAATGTTGACATATACTTGATAGAGGCTGAGTGGTGCTATTAAATGATTTATGTATACTTCGTATGTATTGTATTTACATTTATATCTTATGGACGTCATAACATACAAGACGAATATATTAATAATGAATGGTTCAACTAAGTAAGGAACAATACAAATAATCAATGATCGTTGATGCTTTAGTATACAAATGTGAAGCGAATTTCTTCTTCTATTAAATAATACTACCATGTACTCGAGCATTTGATATACATACAGATGGATGAATAGTCGTAAATTGTATAAAAAAAATGTTGAAGATTTGCAAAGAATTCTGTCTACTGCAGAATTCTTACAGTTTAATTTATTATATTACACAACATAAAAAATTGCCATGTACGAAAATAAAAAATACGAGTAGATATTCATTGTTTATCACTTAGAATTGTATACTTGTTATAAATAAACGAGGCGTCTTTCCAGTGTGTATTATTTAATGTGTTACTCTGTATTATCTAATAGTGAACCGATTATCGATACTACGCTGATGTACAAAACGATATTAATGGAGTTTATGGCATCGTACAACAGAAAACCCACACTGATACTGCATGAAATAATAATAATAATAAACCTTGACATTCTTGATTCGCAATGAATTATAAAAAAGACGAAACGCTACAAATCAGTTTCGTTTCACTTGATCACTTATGCTGTTTAATATCATTAATGAAAGTTTTTTCCTACGATTCTTCACGTTCATTCCCGTCGGCACTTGTACGACATTGACTTTCATATGTTAATAACGCTATCCAAAATGATTTGCAATGAGAAAACGCCTTAGAAATTTTTCTCCTTACAATAATCTTACAAATTACAATTGGACCAAGTGTACGTTGAGATGTAACATTTGTTACTCGATAACGTATCGAACACCGGAAGTCATGATTACATGGCCCGTTAAGTTATTCTGATAACAGCAATACTAAAAATTATAACTGTATCATTCCATTTGAAATATCCTATAAAATGAGAACAAAAATGTAGTATGTTTTCATCATACTTTGAGCATCGAATGAAATATATATTTAAAAAACACATTAAAATAACCGGAATGGGTAATTAAAATGTTTTGTACGTTAATATGGCTAACGTGTTAAACTTAAACGCGGTGATTGATTATTGCTGTGGAAATAAATGAATTGATAATAAACAAAAAATGAAGCAACCGAGGAAAAATAAACTGCCAAGGAAATTGTGATTTTATCTGCTTCATGTGAGTATAACATACAGACATAAAACATCGTGAAATATAAACATAATGTGACGGGATGTTACATGGTACATAGTACTTTGTGCAGTTATAGCACTAATATGTAACAATGTCGAGTTTTCTTGGGATATATAAACAGAGATTATGTTCTATACAAGGAAACATATTTTTATACTTATCTATCGTAATTAAAAAAAATGTATTATAATATTAGGATATAATTAGCATTCATTCAATGACCGATTATCGTTTCGATATGTGTAAACTTTTCACAGCAATTTGAAAGGATTTGAAAAGCTAAGAAATGTTTCTTTTTCATTTAAGCATCACGTCATTTAATTGTACATTTGAGATAAAAATATGATATATATGTGTGTATATATATGTATACATGTACAGTGATTTTCATAAAGCGATCGACATGATCATCTCTGTTTAAAGACAAATTTTAAAATGTGTTTTGTTCGAAGAAATGCTATTTTCAGAGGCTACAACTATCTTTTGTATTGAGAGTTCTTTGATATCCTCGAATTTAAGAGATAATTACGTTGATGACTTCATAAGAATTACTCGGTACATAATAAACTTTGTTATATATTACATTTGTTATGCAACAATATATGCTATAAATGTAGACTGTCTTAAAGATGAATTTGCCGAAGCTTCCCCCCCCCCTCTCGCTCCGATTTTGATGACATAAAAATATGTTGTTATTTTGAACAACTTTTCCCTAGTATATGGTGGTCGGATTTAGTTTTTCGAGACAGGTATTTGCAAAAATGTTCAGTATTATTAGGCTATACGTAGCGGCGCAAGGCTCGTGTAGCAGATCGCAATTTCTTGTTTACTGTTTTTGTAAACGCAGTGAACACAGTAAAGTCGTTCTAAAAGTTTGTATATTATGCGCAATAACATTTATACATTTTGGACAACTTTTCTCGCTTCGTGTAAGTGGTGGCTCATTTTAGTTTTTGAGTTATAATATCTTTTGAACATCTTGACCTACACGTTATCGCCTGATTGTTCGGACCATAGTAAACACGAAGGTAGGAAGTCCGAATGAAGTACCACGAGCGAGACTCGTGCTTATTGTTTATGGCCCAAATTCCTGACCACGAGTCTCACTCGTGGTTGTAGGCCAAAGGGTTAAACATTTTACCTGTCCCTAAAGAATTGATGCATTCTTCAACCAAGTTACTAAATTTCAATTTGAACTATATGTACAGCGACAATGACTTAAAGGTAGAGAAAAATGGAGCCCAAACTTTACATATTGTAGCACACCTCGCAGTTGTGTAAATACATGGTTATTCTGAGAAATGTCAACGCGCAACAGTTGGACCCTCGCAACCCTCGACCGGGGGTAAGTCCCCGGGCCGCTATTTTACTCTAACTTTAAGTAAGATATTATATCTCGAAAACTTAAACCAATCGCCGCTTAGATGTATCGAGAAACGTTGTTTAGAATTATGTCCTTGCCAACATATTTCAAGGTCATCAAAATCGGAGGTGGAGAGGGTTTTCGGTAACCTCGTCACCTTCAGTTTTTATACATATCGACCAGTATTATTCATATAATTTTGAAATAATTTGTCACATTAAGATTGTACATTACGATTTAACTTAATCAGGCCATGTAAACGTATCACAACTATGTATCCACTCACACACACGCGCGCACACACACACACATATATTCCGCAAACACGCCAATAACTCTTGGAAGATGCACATACATTATTCATTTTCATACTTTGTTACTCAACTTACTAGTCGCTTTTTTTATAACACACTCTCTATTTTGACACGAGATTGAACATATTTTTAACTAGCTTCGAATCACAACTTTTTAATTAACAAATTAATTAAAAATGAGAACAATTCCGATTGGTTTTGATGAACTTAGTGATTTGATGTCACACGATGAAAACATGCTACTCAAACTACTTTCACTTTACAAGGAATATGAAACACCATGTCAAATGAAAGAATCTATGTCAGGCATCAGGAACAAGAATTGTTTAATTATCGTGATTCAGCTTTCGTTTTTGGAGGCCTGAATGCTTTCAATTTCTTGGCCTTTTTTTGTTTTGTAGCACTAGAACCGGACTGAAAAGCTTTCCAGCTATCAACTCTTGATTGTCGCGACTCTTCGAAATTTTTTTGCCACTCACGTTCTAACGCAGCTTGCGCTTCCGCTGATAACTCTTCTTCTCGTTTCCTTTTACGTTGTTCCGCATCTCTAGTAGCTAATTCTCTCCTACGCAAAGTAAATCAACAATATTATTAATCCTAAAATCATAAATCTCATGTCTGTAGACAATATTTAATATTTGAATGATTACAAACCTTCTTCGCTCCATATCAGCAAAGAGTTTCATCGTCATAACCCAAACAGCATGTCCGTAACCTTCTTCAGATTCTTCTTCGAGCATGCTGGAACCTTCAGCTTTTCCTTCTTTTTTTAATTTCTTTTTCTTCTCTGCAATCTAATAAATCTTTCAGTAATATACAGATCTCTATAAACAAATAAAAGTTCTATGTCTTGATGTATACCATGTGATCGGTACGGGCTTTAGCTTCTTCGATGACATCCATACATTTTGCTCTAGTTTCCTCATTCTCCAGTGTTTTCCATGCCTTATTAACAACTGTAAGGAATAGAAGAATATTAACAATTTTCCATTGGAATTTCTGACAAAAAATACATACTCTCGAATGCTTGTTGTGCACGCTCTGCATCATCTTGATTTTTATCAGGATGTACAAGAATCGACATCTAGAAAATACAAGTAGTTTAGTAACATGTATTTCGATACGTGCATGTAAACAAAAAACAAAGTATTATTAACTCACGCGTCGGTATTTCTTCTTGGTTTCCTCTATAGATGTAGTTGGGTCAATTTGTAACACTTCAAAGGGATTTAAATTAAAGTAAGACGATCCAGGCCGAAGTAATCTGTCGATCTGCTGTTTAGGAGTTAATACTGAATCCCTTTTTTCTATTTCTTTCACCTAAACAAAAGCAGCATTCCCTAAAGTTCAGGAAAACAACTATTTGTTTGGAACGCGCATACATTCGTATAGGTTAGATTTATTTGTAACCAAAACGGCATGAGAAACTATATTGTTCACAATCTTCAAACGGTATTAGGCATTGCTTATTAAATAAAAAACAACTGTAACCTGTACACTGTCTCAAAGGTGTATTTATTGTTTCGGCTAAATGGATGTAAATTGACGTTTGTTAACCCTTAAAACGAGATATGCGTGTTTACGGTTATATAATCAAGAATTATATCAAAAACTGAATTGCACGCGGGAAAATTATAACAGTATGTTCTCAGTTGAAATATTAACATACTTCCGTATAAAATTCGTTGAATTCATCCTCTTTCTTTGTTGGATTTTCACTGGATATACTCGAGTTGGTAGCAGCCATCTTGATGGTCACTAACTTCCATATTAATAGTGGTGCCGCCTATTAGCGTGTGGTCGGAGTAATTGTTGTTGTTTGTTTATTTAAGGAATTTAATGCAAAAATCACTCATCGCCGCATATAGATTTATTCGATTCAGCAGTACCGCAGTAACTTGTATAATCTAAAGTAAAATTTAACAATCGTTATACTTAGTAAAATTAGCATATAATCATTTATGAAATCAACAAATGCGCAAATTTTTCGTGCTTCTACGAAGTGATCAATAGATTTATAAAAGTAATTTGTACTCGTAAGACTTAATTGAAATATGATTGAGTAGGAGGGTTTAATGAAATTTCAAAGAATCGTTTAAAATTTTATAATATTTTATTAACAAAGCTTAACAACCAATAAACAAGTAAAGTTTCCTTTTAGCGGTAACAAAGATGTATTAGATGAAATTAAAGTTATACATTCAATATACATTATAGCGTAAATTTGTGTTCAAATGAAGAGACTAAAGTCTAATGTTTAATACTAGTCTAGCATATACATAGAACTACTTGCTATCTTCCGTCAGGAAACATAGAATGCGTAAACGGGAAGGTGTAAATACTAGTACTACGTTATAATATCTAACATACGTTACGTTTGTCTAATCTAGCATGGTATCTAGCAGCTAGTCGTTTACTATTGAACACCGTTCGTACATAAACGCATAACTTTTGAAGTAAACTATGGGGGTACGGGGGACCAGTCTGTTTAAGAAACGCGATTACAAACACACATTTTCCGTGTAACATTTTTCCTGCTTACTAACATACGTCACGTTCATTTGTTAACTAGTAACACGAATTGCAAACTAATTAGTTTACTTACATCGACAATGCGCGATTTGTTCTCTATTTCCTACTTTCCCTTCAAGGAATCTTAACGCACCTGTTGCTACCAGAACGCTATTATCGTACGAGAAACTTAACTGCGTGAGTAGTTTCATTCGTAAAAACGAATGTTTCAAAAATCGATAAGTACGACAAGTAATCAGTAAGAATCGCGGAACTATTTTCATCGCAACGATTTTATTTATTTTCTTTTTCTAATTTATGATTGTTAGGTGATTCAAATTTATCCGGTTACGGCGAATAATTTTATGGTATGAAACAGGAAGGACTTCATCAACGAAGTCGTTAAGATTCCATTTCATTAACGAAGCAGTTATTAAAACATCAAAAACAGTAGCTGAACACGAAACAGTTAGGACATCGATGGTTTTCTTTTTGGCGAGTGATAGTACAAATTGGAGCATGAGTGTTCGGTCCTGATGGGAACGGAGTACTCCGCCGATTTAGTATAGTCGTTAGAAGGAATCTTTATGTGCTCGTAAATTGAAACATTGGTTATTACGTTATTGGCACAATCGATCCTTTAGAAAACAAAGTTCCTTTGTAAATGATCGCATGCTAGATCATATTGATTGTATTTTGTGGAAGGTTGTATGAGTTTGTTTGACCCCTTTTCGTTGTGAATACCTTCTTAGGGGTTTTCCAAACTGGAAAAATTCAAAACTCCTGACGATGATTGGTTTACCATAATATTTTCAATAAGTATTCTTGAATACTTTTAAACGTAAACCTCCACTTTTAGTCAGATATCAGTGCGATACCAGAGTGTTTTGGTCTACGAATTTATATTCTGCCCATTTTACTTGGTGGTACATTTTTATAATAAATTTCTGTAAAATCAAACGCTCTACTTCGAAAAGAAACATCCACGAACATTCATGATTCAATGTATTATTATTTCAATTGATAATTAATTGTATTCTGATATAAGTAAAATTGAAATTGTACGTTCAAAAAAATCACTTTTAAATTACATATATTGCCTTAGAAGCGCCACTCGAGCGCAAAGGGTTAATTGAAAGTTAGAAACAATGTTTCTAATCGTTTTATAGTAATCGATTCATTCGTTATAAAATTATGCATGAACATTCTGACCGATTTTATGACTAGGTACACAAACTCCTTTCCAGAGACTATATTTAGGTGTGTCTTAAAAAGGAACCAAGGTAGGCGTGTGTTTGCGTGAGAAGACATCTCCCATTCAGGACAGATCTTTCATACTCCCGTCTATAAGTACCGTTTGTCTAGAGCATAGCGTTTACGTATATTAAAGTTGTTAGTCTCTAAAATATGAAACGACTCTTTATCGTCTAACGTAATTTGTACAGTCAGTTTTTCAAAATTTGTTTCGTACACATTAACGCAAAGTGTATTAACAGAAGGAAATCGGTTATTTGCATTTTCATGCTATGAAATACTCGAGCTACGTGGATCGTTGAAGTACACGGTGTACTCCAATAGTATTTTAGCGATTTCGACGTAGTACAGATTATGCAATTATGCAAAATAATAGGAATTTAAACGATACCGGACACGATTACAACGTAGCTGTACAGTACGTATATCTAAACGGATCCGACTTCGCGGCTCTACCGTAACGAACATACAAACATCACAACAGTTTATCTCTTTTAATCATATGTATGACTATATGTGTATTATAAATTCTATGCGAACTATCGATTAATGGTACCAACGATCGAAGTTCAAAAAGCATTTGCGGAACAATCGAATGCTCCTCCAACCGCTTCGAAATTGTTCGACGATCTTGAAACGTTCGTGCTTAATAAACTGTTCACACGCAGGTTTGCAAATCGTTAATTTGATATTTATTGACTGTATAGATTACGTGGCATTTAGGTTGTGAAGGATAAACCGTTGGTTATAGATAAATGTACCTAATATATTCTGTTTACTCGACGGGCTATTGCGATCGATTTGTTTGCGTACCGTTGTTTATTAAACCGCACGTTTTACAATGATGTACACAAAGCTAGCTACGCTAACGATATCTAGACACTTCTTGCTAGATGCTGGTACTCCAATAGAAAGTGAAAGTAATCTCTCTAGGACAACCCATTGTAGATACATTGTGATCGCAATGCCTAAAATTTCGCACTAACCGTTATGAAATTAGAAAATTGTATCATCAGTTAGTTTCCTTGACGTATCGTCGATGGACAGTGATCTCATGTTCCGAACACGAAAGTAAAAATCGTATCCATGATGGGATTAACACTTTGGCTTCGGGGTGATCTCGAAGTAACTGTTACATATTTTTCAATAATTGAAATTTTAAGAAAAGGTATAAATTGTTGGGTTCATATTATAATTTATAGATTTTAATATTAACAATTGTCAGTGATTTCCAGTGTTTTAACGTGTAACATATTATCAAAGGTTGTATTTATAGTGTATGTTGAACTGTGATAGTATTTATACCAGTGTTCATAATGAAGAAATAAAATAATTAATTTAAAACGTATACGAATGTTCTAATTCAAAAATTATTGGCGGTATTTACGATCGATTTATAATGTACTATAAATTGAAGAAATAAATCTATAATACATTACAAATCGTTTATGAATGTATAATATATGTAGGTACAAAATTTACATATTGAAATTGAAGACTTTCAAAGAATAAATAAATTTTATTTAAATAGCGATGAATTTTCTTTTAAGAGAGTAAAATTTGTTAATACTGTTATTATTTGTTATATGCATACTGCGTCATCCGAAGTCAAAGTGTTAGAAACGTTCAAAATTGTTGAACAGGCCATCGCATGTAGATCTCGCGGTGTATCGGGAATTATCACGAAGATATCATAATTCATTGATGGGAGATACGACGTTAAATGTATTATCACGAAACTGTTTCTTTGGAAACAGACGTTTACATTCTTTCGCGGATCGTGCAATGAACGAACAGTCTCGGTGAAAGTCGTCTTTAAGTATTCGCAAACTTCCACGTGAAGTTTCTGTCAAAATATATATATATATATATATATTTTTTTTTTCTCCGTAAAAATTTACATCTATGTAACTTATCGATATGCACCCAAAGCTTATCGTTATAAAGCGAATATGTATATCTGACTTAGAAGAAAATCGTTTAGACACGGAGACGAGAGCGTGCGCCGAAGAGCGTACAATTAGTGATTATAGACACATAAATTGGTCGACTTTTTCATTGGTGGAGTCACAAACACACTTACCAAAGAGCGCGAGACGAAGATTCGAAATTCGAGTTTCTTACAGAAAGCCGTATGTTTGTTTAGGCGGCCGATTAATATTATTATTGTACACTTACGCATATGCAATCAGCGGTTAATGGTCCTTTGATTTCACAATCGACCTTCGCGCGTTACCTAACGTTGCCGATTATATTCGAGTATTAAATCGATCGCTTCACCGTGCAATACAAAGCGCACCAAAACCGATGGACAAATGTTTAATTGTTGGGCCGACGTTTTTTTCTTTTTTTTTTTTGTAAAAACGTATCTCAAACCAAATGCATTCTTCGGTTTGTTCGTACAAATATTTATTATTCTACGTTCGTATCACTACGTTTAGCTTAGAATGTGGAAAAAGTTTTGTTGTTGTTTTAGCTATTGTAGTGTGTGCACGACTGGGAAAGAGGTGGTTTCACGTAAAAAAAGATAAATCAAAAGTGTAAAATATTCTGTAGAATATTCTATAATATTGTGTAGAATATTTTGTTACGAAGTATCGTTATCGAAAAAAAGGCTAAGGTAGATGCTTAGAAGATAACGCGGTCCCCGTTTTAATAAATATATTTGTGTTATACTCCAAAATGTTTGTTTGTATCATCAGAATATATACTAAATGGAGTATTTGCACTTTGTTTTTGCACATTTTTCGAAAGTAAAAATTCGTAGCAGAAAATTTCGATCTACATTTTCGATTCGTTTAATTACGGTTAACCACATCCTCGTTAGTTGTGCTATACAGGGTGAGGCACTTAAAATCGACCGTTTAAAATTCATAGACACTGAATAATTCGCTTTCTTTTAATATTAGAAGAAAGAAGTTGGAACAAGAGTTGTTTGAGTTCAAGGGACACGTAATATGCTGCTAATCTTTTGTTTATCAGTGAAGGCGTATAAGATCGTCAATTCTGGTTTGATTTTTTAATGGAACGATACAGTTTCTTATATAT